TAATAGAAGGGCATGTTTGAGAACGTGATTATAGTAGGAGGGTGACCTTGACCTAAAATATAGTAGAGGGGCATGTTTGAAAAAATGTAATAGTAAATGGGGCAAATTTTGCCAAAAACCCAAAAAGAACACAATGAAAAGGGAAAAGAATAAAAGAGAGTGGCCACCAAATGTGTATATGCTCTAAAAAATGTTTGTTTACCTTTCTCACTCTTACGCTTGAAAAATGAATAGCAAATGTAGCAAGAAAGTTTGTTGTGAATGGTTTGCTAATTGGTTGTGGTTTGGAATGGAGGAAAGTGTAGTTTTTGGCCGATGCTAGTGGTCATTGCTTGTAGAAGAAGGTTCAAGTCGAAACCATAGAACCTTGTTGTGGTTTTAGGTTGAAGCAGTGTTGTCAAAACCGAACCGGACATCGATCCGAATTAATGAGAGGTTCAAGATTTATCGGATAACCATTGATTAACCGACATTAAAACCGTTCATAAATCAGTACTTGGCTCCAAAAAAGAAGGGAAAGGTATAGAAAAAGAATTAAAAAAAATCAAAACACTAAGATTAGTGGGTTGTAGGGAGTAGGGTAGGTAGGGTCACTTTTATTTCACCTTACCTAGTTTCCTTTCCATTTATTATTTAATTAAAAGATAAAAAAAAGTAGGCGCCACTGCGCCAGTTAAATTCTCCAGCCCGCCCATTTTTTTGCTTCTGGTGCTAGACTTGTGCCCGGGTACAGTTTTTACCGGTCTGGCTCAGGTTTGATAACACTAGGTTGAAGATGTGGAACCTCATGCTATGTTTGCTACCACCCAAAAAGCCTTCCCATGTCCTAGACCATAGCCAGTCAGTCGAACCCGTGTCTATAACTTCTGGACAAGCTAGTGATGACAAGTGACAACCATCCTTGTGATTAGCCAATCATTTTTGGCCATCAGAAGGGCCTTCACGTCTCGCGGGCCTGAAGGTATCACAATCTCGAGACAGTGAAAATCACCCCCGACCATGAAAATGGCCCAAAATGGTGTGTTTTTGGCCAAGATCACCCTATGCTTGCTATTATCACCGTCGTGAACAGTGACCGTGAGGTCGGCACTGTTGGGAAAATATAAAGACATCAGTTGGGAGAGAGAAAGATGAGCCGATTTTTGGAGGAGAAATTGATTCTCTCTCCAGGGATTCAACCCAAAACACTAAAGGGAGTTCTAGTGAGAGAGAGAGAGTTCTTGGATGATTTTGGAGCTTAATTGAAGACATTGATCAAGTTTGGAAGCAAGGAATCAAGCCTAGAAGCAGAAGTAGAAGATCTTGTGCTCCAATTTTTAATCTCTCTTCTCTCTCGAGAAACTATCACTCTTTCTCTTAGGTTTAAGAACCCTAGGTCTAGGTTTTGGTTTTATGTTAATGTTTGCGACAAATTCAATGTTTGATTGAGTTTATTATCAATTGATGGATGGTTTTCATGAATGGCATGAGTATGGATTCCATTTTCATGTATTGAGCTTTTGACCTAGGAGGGAGAAAATCCCCATAGAGCCCATTATTGTTGTGTTCGTGTCACTCATATCATATATTGTCCGGGTAATTCCCGAGGGAGTTGATTCAATCGGTATCCTAGTAATATATGAAACCCTAGGTTGAATAGAGCACTTACACATCCATCACTTGCCATTCTAGGTCAATCCCGAGTGAATCGATCTTATAACGGTAGGGTAGTGAATCAATTAAGCGGGAATAGTACTCAACAACGATCCAAAGGATAGAACTAGGATTCACCCAAGAGAGCTCCCAAACTTGTAAATAGCTAGGTTAGTGGTTAGCTAGGTTAGTTAGTTTAGTTTTCCTAATCACTATTCTAGGCTGACTAAATAATGAACCCTAAATCCAAAGTTGTAGGTTATACTTCGCCGTCGATCGAGAATGTGTAGTTAGAGATCTTTCCAAGGTTGTAGGTGAATGCAACATTGTATCTTCCCAGTCAGCCTGCAAGTGAATGCAGCACTGCATCTTCCCTTAAGTTTAAGCTCTGCAGCAGCGCGCTTAAGTGCTCACACGGTCATATGGGAGGCCACGTAGGCGGAGCTGGGATTCGATAGCTATAGTGAAGGGGCTCGTTTAAGTGGGTTTTGGGGGTGGAAGAGTGAAGCTTGGAGCTGGAAGCCAGCCAGCTGAAGGAAATGGCCCTACTATATGGGTGTTTTGGCAAGCAAACTGAAAATTCAACTGGAGAAATATTGGAAATCATTTAATGCCTCCACCGAACTTTCATCTCCCTCTTACATCAACTCATTCTCTTTCATTTTCTCTTTGAAGGGGTGTGATTAATATTAGTGTAGGGTGTATAGATATTATTTTTGGGTGATATGAATATTAGTTTGGGATATGGTGACAAGAATGAAAGAGACATCAAGAAAAACAAAAGAATAATGACAAGGCACTAGTAGTTGTGAATACTATTTGTAGTAACCAGAATATTTGTTAGAACAAGTTGAATATAATTTCCAACAAATTGAATACTACTTGTACTATGCAGAACTCCATCATAACTAAACTCATCTCACCCAATAGTATTACTTCTTTTCCCGGAGAAGAAGCAATTATGGTATCTGGGGAATAAGCATCGGCTAACTCTGTTAAATTGCTTCATAGAATGATTGATTTGACCCCATAAGCAGGACCACCACCCCCACGAATATGAAATATTCATGCGAAATGTCCTCAACTTGGAAATGTGCGCCTCCACAGAGGAGATTTAATGGAAGCTTTTGAATACTTGTTAAACATTTAGTTTGTCTGCATGTGATATTTGTTCCTCAACTGTTTATGAATACTAGTTATACGTGTATTTGGCTTTCTCAAAATATAATACTTGTTTGAAGTTTTTTAATCCTAGTTTGACGATTTTGAATACTTATTAGACACTTATGAATACGAGTTCGTGTACATATAGTATTTCATCGTGTATTTATCTCACAACTCACATAACTTTGTCCCTAGAAGATCACGTAGGCATGTGTTGTGACTGTGTAATTTCCCTAATATTTTGATAAGTATTCAACTTGTTTGAAAGGAAGTATTTTTAGATTCATTGTTGATGTTAGAGTCTAAATCAAAGTCAGAGGATGACGACAAGACCAAGGAAATCATCCAGAAATTAAGTGGTGTTCATGTTGTGTTGAAGTAATATTCATGCTATACTATATGTTTGTCTTCAAGTAGTATATTCATGTTGTGTTGAAGTAATATTCTTCATGTGTTGAAGTAGCATGCATGTACGGTTGCATTTGTATTCCTGTTGTGATGAACTAGTATTCTTGTTGTTACGGAGTAGTATCCATCCCGTTAATAACTATTATTCAACCATGTACAAGCACATATCTAACCTGATATGAACTTGTATCCAACATGTCAATAAGTGTTATTCAACATTACGAAGTAGTGCCCCACCTGTTATGCACTTTATATCAGGTGACAATAATTAGTAGTATCCAAAAAAATTACACCAAGAAACTCGGTTGCTTCTGCGACAATTGCCTCTTCATGTAAGTGCAGTTGGGATGGTCCTTTTCCAGATGGTTCATGACCCAATCTATCTCTCCTAGTGCATACTTTTGTTCATTAATATACAAAGTAGTATTTAACAACTATCAATAAGTATTCAACAAAATCCAACTAATATTCATCTTTATCCCAAGTAGTATCTAACCTAAAACAACAACTTACAACTAGTAGTCAACATCTAAGTACTAGTATCCACCATAAACAAACTAGTATTCAATATCTAAGAACTAGTATCCACCATGGAAGAAACTAGTATTCAACATCTAAGAACTATTATCCAAAATGAAACAAACTCTGATTCAACTATTCCGAACTAATATTCATCCTATAGACAAACTAGTATTCAACTATTCAGTAACAGTATCCATCCTACAGACAAAATAGTATTCAACTAAGAACTATTATCCACACATAAGAGCAATAGCATTAAAGAGCCATAATGAACCTGCTAAAGCCAACAAACCCCACACCTCCAATGATATACAAAGTCGTACAAAAAATCCCCAAATTTGTATCTATGAAACCCTAATCCATATAAAGAAGGAACAAACTTCAATCAAAAGATATGACGCCAACCTCAAAGTGATATACCGATCGGTGCCACTTCTCTACTCTCTTTTTCGTTTATGTGGGCTTCTCCACCACACTCTTTCTTCGACGGTATTCCTATGTGGATTTCTCCGCCAACCGAACCAGAAGAGAAGTACATGTTGAAGAGTTGGGAGTTTGTTGTTTCTCTAAACGTCGATGAGTCGAGAGTTGTCAAAGATGGAGCACGGAAGAGAGGAGTCGCCGGAGATGGAGCACGGAACAGAGGGAGTTGCCTTCATTGGTTTCGGAAAAGGAGAGGAAATTGAGAGAGAAAAGACTAAAGAGAATAGCTTATTTGGTGAGAGAAGGAAAATGAAACCAAATATTTGGGTTTTTGAATTGCACGCCCACCCAAATATTTGGCTTTTTGTGTCTAGCTCGATTCTCCTGGCTCGGCGTTTTCCTTGTGTTTCTTTGGGGTCTTCCTTACGACCTGCTGTTCTCTCTGTGCTAAACTCACCTCTTTGTTTCTTGCTTTGTGGTTCAACATATTCTCGCTTTTATCAAAAAGTCATGTAAGCCAAATTGGCAATCCACAATGCAAGATATCAGGAGAAAGAGAAAAACCATAAACGGCTTGGCTTTGGCCATTTTAGTACCTTAATTTCTCGAGAATACACAGTAGTATATATAGTCATCTTGATATCATCATATCGATCAACATACAAACATAAGAAGAATAAAAGTTACAGCTTTTTCTTTACAATCAACCACCAGTTGTAATATTCTACTGCTTACCCCATCTCCTTTATCTTCCCTTTCAGATAAACCAAACACGGGAAAAATTACTGAACACCAACCATAACATGAGCCAGAAAAGATGCAGAATGAATAAAACAAACTAGAGATTGAAGCTACTTCGCAAACAGCTGCCTCCTCCTACCTAATTTGGTGGTTCTCGGTCCGCCAACTGCTTCTCCCATCACAATCTCATCAACTAAGTCCTTAAAAATCAGTCTCTCAACATCTAATACCAACCCAGAAACCTCATTATCAAACTCTGTCCAAGAATCAGATCTTCGTGTCATGTCTTCACACAAAATAACTTTCAAACCATCCTCCTCGTCTTCCAAGCTGCATTCCTCCAATTTCTTGACTTGAAGCTGTTCTATTTCCAAACACAGCTCCTTCAGAAGCTTCTGTGCTGTGGTGGTCTTCCTGGCAAGTTTACCCGACTTCAGCCATGGTTCTGGCTCGACGCTCACCAAGGCTAACTTTTTTACAAGGGTCTCATTCACAGCATCGAATATTAGCTTACGGTGGGACTTCTCCGCTTTCATGGGGCCACTGCTCTGTTCCTTCATTTGCAAATTGCTGGCTTTCGTCTGCTCCAGTACACAGAAAAGCTCGGGGTTGATGGGATGACCAGATGGGTGAAGCTGAAATGTTGTTAGCCCTGAGCCAAGATCTCTAAGTAGAAGGCCTGAAGCTAACAAGATTTCAGAGATGTATCGGTGGTCTGGATCACTGTTATCGCAGAGTGAAGCGATATAATCTGTGCTAGCTTCATCATGTGTAGAGTTTAGACGTCTAAGCTTTTGTACTAAATTCTCAATGTTCTTTAACTTCTTGCGATTGATATCAGAGAGGAGACCTGAGCCTGTGCAGTTGTTGGACAGGGACTCTGAGGAGTTCCACGGATTGCCGTTTTGACTATCCGTGGAATTCTGAGCACCGCCACCTGGAAGAAAAAAATAGCATACATGCGTTTGCAATGCCTGTGAGAATTCATGTCTAACGAGAATGCAAATCTACCGGAATCTCCAATTCTTACGATTGATAGTGACAATAAATGCGATGCCATGTGAATAGATCTAATCTCAGTATTTGTATTGCCTTGTGAATTTGCGATATCAGATATCATAAGTTGCAGACAGCTGAATCTATATGAAGCTTGAACAGCAGAACATTGTCATTACCTCCAGGCGTACTGGGTGCCTGTTTCACTGGGGATATGGCAGCATCTTTATATGCTGAAGAATCAAGGACGGAGACAGGACTAGGTTGCTCAGGAGCAACAACTAACTCCACGCCAGCCACCTCTTCATCAGAGTTTGAAGTCTCTTTCTGCACAGAACCAAACAGTGATAGGTCAGCCATATATGAACAGAGTAGTTGAGAGTGAACTTGGAGGTGGTCAATGCTTTACTTACACTGTGCAGCATTGGATAAGAAACCACATAACTGGTAGTAGATGCCTTCAATGGTGGACTCTGAATTTCACAAGATCGATCAGCACTTGTGACTTCGAAATCGGTCTTCAGGTCGAAGACTGTAACAGTGTGGTCAGACTGCATAGACATGATGTCATCGGCCTGATAGCTTGAAGTTCTTGACTCATTACTTATCTGGCTCAGTTGGTCATCATTCTGTGCCTGTTTAGGAGACCTGATCCTGTGCTTCCCACCACCAGGTGAACCTGACTCTGGTGGTGGCTGTCTTCCAGATTGTTGTCTTCTTCTCGGTTTGCTTGTAATATCACTTGGGGGAGTAGGTGGGCGAGATCTCCTTTCCAGCTCGAGCTTCTTCTGTTGCAATCTCGGGCTCACTGATCCTGTGCTCTTTACATAGCTGCTTGTGCTCTCTCTTTGCTGAGGCTTAGAAGTTTGATTTGATCTTATGCCCCTGCTGCCACTTGTTATCTTGTCACCAGAGTAGGAAACTGATTCTCTATGAGTGTTTCGCGGTGACTGGTCTTTAATCACCCGGCTACTGATTGCATATCCACCATTGTGAATTCTGTGAAACCCGGGAAGCCCATCAATGGGGATCACTGAGGAAGAAGGAATACCAGATTTCTCAACTAGTTTTGCTGGTTTCATGATCACAATTGGTGACTCATATGTCCTCAAAGAATTAGAAGCTTTAGCTGCAGTAGATGTACTGGCAAGATTTTCTTGCCTTGATAATCTTGAAGGGCTTTGGGTAGTGGCATTTCTCGGGTCAAAATCTGCTTGAGTTGTTCCGAATTTGGAATTTTGCTCTTCCACTTTCCCAGTCTCAAGGAGCCCCTTAGCTTGCATTGCTTCTAGAATCTGTTTAAGAGCTCTCAGATCTTTCCCAGACTGTTTGAACTCAAGATCCTTCAGTCTCTTCTCGATCTCACTGTACACAGAGGGAAAAGAGTTTTGTGTATTGGTTGGAAAGGTCTTTCCAGACTTGAAAGATGATTTTTGAGCCCCTCTCATTCCATCCATCTGCTTCCATGGAGCTGGTTCAATTGGCAACTTTGAAATAGGTCTCATGATTAAATGATCAGGATTCTTCCGTCGCGGTGAGAGGACTGGCTCTTTTGCCATGCTTCTTGGAGACTTGGGAATCCTGATACCCAAATTCGCATCATTTTGCTTGAAGGATCTTGAGAAGGCATCAGTATGTTCACCTATTGTTGTCTTGAGTGAACCTGCCGATTGACTAGACGATGCAGAATCTGGTAACATCTCCAACCCCATTAACTTAGCTACCACACTTGGCGGCCTGTTTGGGTTTCCTGATTGCTTCTGTGCATTGTAAACCCGTTCATCTGAGTTTGACATATGTTGTAAATCTCGTGAGAGGTAACTGCTTCTTTTTGAATCAGCCATGGAAGCAGCCTTCATAGAACGTTCCCTACTGTCTAATGAAAGTCTGGGAAGCTCTTTCAGCTTGGGGCTAGTAGCCCTGATGGAATCCCGTGATTCAAAAGACAAACGATTCGAATCTCTACCATCATAAGAAAAGCGAGGGGCATCTTTTGTAGCTGTGCTCCAAACATCCTTTGATTCATATGATGATGGTCTTGCATGTTCTCTAGTTTCATTGTGGTACCAAGGTGCTTCTCGAATCTTGGCAAGAGCTCGTAAAGAATCATGGACATGATCAACAGGCACATTCTGCTTCACCTTATTGATTGTTGCAACCCCATAAGATCCATCTGCTGCTGACTTAGTGTGCAGCAATGGCCTTGGAGAATCTTTATGCTTCACATCACTACTTCCCTTTGCTTCCTGTTTTGACATGGTCTTGACTGATAGCCCTCTGGCATCCCTATACATAGAGTCCTTAACTACTTCTCGAAGATCAACAGAGTGCCTCTCTGAATATGAGCAGGTACTCGGCTGGTGAGTTAAAACTGGATCCCTTGATGGAGTTTCAGGAAAGATTATTCTATCTGTAGATGAGGTTTCGGGTTGAGCGGTCCTGTTTTCAAGAGAGGATAAAGAGGAACATGAGGAAGAGAAAGAAGCCCGTGATGATTCTGTGGACATCCTTTGCTTTTCATTCGAACACTTGTTCAAGCTTGTATCCTGCAAGAGGAAGTCCCCTGTCAGCTCTCCTACATTCCTCATTATCTATAAAATTCATTATGTCAGCTGATATATACAGCAGCATCCATCACAAATTAGGTCCTGAATATTTTATGTGAAACTGGTAGAAAAAATTACAAGAACAAGATGGAAGAGAGCTTACAAGAGGACGCCGACGGTATGTATCGAAAGATTCCCGGTCTGAGCTTCCACGAACCAAGTGAGATTCACCTGCAATCATAACAGAAGCAGAAATATTACAACACTAGAGGATGGTTATATATTATCAGGTCGTGACCGAGTATATAGTGGTGCAAACGTGCTACCTGGAAAATGTACAGATGGAAACAATAAACAGAATGCACAAATAGAAACAATCAATAACATCTTGTCAATTAGATCTGTCAAGCACGCACTGTCATTGAGTAAATTACCAGTAACACCAACCATGAGACGATGAGGTGATATGGTAAGAAACCAAGCTACAAAGACATGTCAATAAATTGCCAAGCTGCTACCAATTCCTGAAGTAAATGCAGACAGGGGGACTATTGGTTGAAGCATTGAGTACAAGTTGTAAGCTGGTGGTACTATACATATTATTGATAACACCCACTCAAGCAGAACAATTTTAAAGGACAAATAGCAATCAGGAAAATCTGTCATTTTTGGTTCAGTACATAGAATTATTCATATCTTGAGATGCAGGTAAGAAGTTCTAACATTGCGATGTGTTCTACGAGCCGATAAAAACGAGTAGAAGAAAATCCATCAGTAAGGAAGAAAGCAAAGCGATGACCACTTGTAAACTGTATGAACTACCTGGAGGCAGCTTTTTATGGCTGAGGCGCCTACCAGTGAGCATTTGTTGACGATCAAAGATTTGAAAAATACCAGTCATACAACCAATTTGCTTCTGCAAATCTGGATTATCATCAGCCAACGAATGTAACAGTTTGGCAGCCATTCTCCTCCCTTCAAGAAACTCAACCACCACTGCCTCAAACCCAACAAACTCACACCCGTTCCTTGTGTGCTTATTTCTGATCTGAATTTGCGGCCTTCAATGGTGTTTGGTACCACCACAGTACAGAGGCAATGCTTTGTGGCAAACCCACTTCTATACTATTAATTGCCTACTGTTGACAACCACCAGTGCACGAGATTAATGACCACAAATCACACCTGTTCTCCGTACCTTTCTCTACACCTTTTCGCCATTTGTTCTTCGGCTTCTTTCTTTCAACAGTGAAGCAAGAAGGCATAACCTGTACATTCTAGCAGTTCTTTTATAAACCAAATGAGAAAAACGCACTTTCCATGTACATGTAACCCCGAAAACTAAGTTTCCAGAAACATAAGCTAACAAAACAAACTAAAAATATTTCCCTTCTACCAATATTATCCACAAACTAACCCTTTAATCTCTCTTTGTCAAAAGTCAGTAATCTCCTAGTAATAATTACAGCTCCGTGGTACAGTCCACGAGCGCCCAAAAGACAAAAAAGCTCGTCCCTTTTCCTGTTAATTGAGCCAATCTCAGTCCCACAGACCTTCCCTCCCTCAGAATCGAAGTGCCCAATTTGGAATACCCATGAATCCTTCCCAAAAAAGCACACTCATAAACTCGTTTAGGCGACAATCAGGGAGAAAACTGCAACGGCATAAAAAAAGAGAGAAGGCAGGGAAACCAGTATCAGGAAACAGAGGGAAAAACAATACCTGATTTGGACATATATTCTATAGGCAAGGCCAGGCCAATGCCAGATGCCCAAATACCAACATATAACAACAAGAATACACAGCAGAAGAATGAGAATGTACCCACCATATACTTAGGGCTTACAAATCCAGAAACGCAGCGAGTACTTCTCATCCAAAGCTAGCTGCTTTCCCTTCCCAACACCGCAAAGAGAAGAAAGAAAATAGAGGAATCTCCCCAGATCCAAGATGATAGAGATGGGATATGGGATTTTTTTAATCTCTCCTATTATTGTTTGGTCAGAGAACAAATGGGAATACAGGCAAGAGTGATGGGAAGGTCTAGCGTATCGTTAACATGTGTAACCCAGAAAACTAATCTGGTTAAAGATTAAAAAAAAAAAAAATTCTTACTTCTCTTTTCCTTCCCAAGGGATGAGAGAGAGTAGCAGAACGAGCAGGGGAATGAGAATGCGAGTGTTTGTGGTAATGGGTTGGGGGAGCAGTAGCAGGCAGAGATGTATGTTCCTTTCCTTACCAGTTTCCTCTCCTCTCCTCTCCTCTCCTCTCCTGCCTTCTCTCTCTCACATACAACCATGTGCGATGAGTATGTGGGTGGGTCTAAAACTGTCTGCATTTGCATGTGGTTTTGTCAGAAGAGCAAGTGAGAAGATAATTCCCCCAAAACATAAAGTCATAAACGACTCCAATAACAAATATGAAAAAGAAATTGGGGAATTGGGATTTTAGTGATCAACTCTTTCCTATATTCTTTCAGTCACGAACTTTTGAGTTTTAGGCCGGTTATAAAATAAAGTAAAAAAGATTAAAATACAAACTTCGAGTTTTGAACATATTTTATTCATAATTTCTTAATAAGTATAAACGGCAAGTTTGAAGATGGATGAGAAGTCTATGATATATGAGACCACAAATCATCTCTCATGACATTTGTCAACTTTGTCTTTCAAAAAAACCCATATGATTCACCGGATATTCAGGGAAATTAGTAAGAGTGTTCCGAAAAATCTGAGTGAGGAAAAGCAATTGTTAGGAATTTTTAGTGACAACATGGCAACGGCAACCCAGCTGGTGCTCGTGGATGCGCTCGGGCAACTACTTGGGCCTAAAACATCTGCAAGGACGCGGCGTCCCCCCCCCCCCCTCTCCCGGGCAACCGCGTCTCCCAACACAAAACAGAGAAGGAAGCCACTCAAGCGCAAAAACGAGCTAAGCAGGCAGATCAATAGTTGAACGATGATATCCTCGATGAGGTTATGGAACGACAGAGGAAAACCAGACTCCCAAAAATCATAATCGGGGGCCTAGGCGAAGAAAAACGGTGCAGCGAGAAGATTATTTGCTAAGCTGTCGCGTACTAATATTTGGTCGTCGAATCTGATTCGGAGGATATTGCATAAGCGATAATGGTAGATGAACGAAAAGCTGGAAATCGATGAGGAAGACGACCCTACTTGTCCACCAATTCACTTCTCTACAGAGGAAAAACAAATGTTATGTTGGTTGTGGTGATCTGTTTAGTCGTGAAGTTGTTGGGTAGGTCGACATCCTACACGGTAATGTCAAATAGACTCATGATAACTCGATATCCGCATACGTTTGTAACCACCATTCTCATACTGTTTGAAGCTCGTTTTTCGTGTTTTAAGCCGATTTCACGCTAGGTTGTTCTTTTTGGTGATATTTCAAGTCCTAGTATGTGAATAGAGGTTTGGACACGAACTCAGGGTCGATTGGACGAAGTTAGAACGATTGAGAAGAAGCTGAAGGATTTACACGACCAGACATTGGAGTTACACGACCATGCAGTGTGGCCGCGTGACTAGGTTTACACGACCAAGTTATGTACGAGTCGTGCAAGGGCGCCTCTGGGTGTGGGTGATTTCCAAATATCCACACGGGCAAATGGTCATTTTACACAGGCAAATGGACGTTTTACACGGCCATGCGCTGGGCGTGTAGAGTCTGCGGAGAACTAAATGGAACGCGACGTTTTGGTTTTACACGGGCAGACCAGGGTTTTACACGACCGTGTGTTCTGGTCGTGTTATCGAGCATAGCTGCGTTTTAAATCCAATTTCGGGTTTTTAAGAGGGGATCTGAGTCTAAGGGCTGAAAATAGAGTTTTAGAGAGAGAAAGTGACGAATCTTACCTCCAAGGTGACATAGATTGAGCTTTGACACCATTGGAGCTCGATTGAAGTTTGGAGAGGTGCTCATTGACAACCAGAAGCTGATTCTCATCCTCCACAAGTGATTTCTGCATCTGAAGCTGATTTTCGCACACCATCGGAAGCTTATTTCTACATCCTTCTTGGAACGATCTGACCAACAAATTCATGCACAGGTACTATCCGACCTCAGAGTTTCAGCGGGAGATCACTCATTTCCGCCAAGAAGATGATGAGTCGCTGCGAGATGCTTGGGAGTGGTACTTGGGAATGTTCTGGAAGTGCCCCTATCACGGCTTTAGTGATGCATTCACTGTGAGGAACTTCTATAGTGCTAATATCCGGAGAGTCAGAGATTGATTGAGTCTTTATGTTCGGGTGGAGACATTCTCACTAAGACTCCACCTGAGCTGAATCAGGTGATCAGTACTTTGGCCGCCAGAGATCATTCTTAGGGGAAGATCACTAGATGAAGGAGCTCTCGAGATAGAGGTGTGCATGCCATGGAGGCCAGATCAGGTCATGAGCGAGAGGTGGTAGAGCTAGTTTAGACATTGAAGCAGCCTAACAGCCTCATACCAGGCAGAGGTATGGTCGAACTTCCTGCAGCATAGTGTTAGTGGTGTGACAGTTCGAACCATTTGGTGGAGGATTGTCAGGCTATGTCGGAGTCCTCCACACATGAAGAGCAGTTGGACTTCATCGCCAATGCTCGGCGCCTATACCCCTATAGTGGTACCTATAATGAGGGCTCGCCAGCATCTCAATTTCTCCTAGAATGACAACAACAACAACATCACCAAGCCTCCCAGATTCACCACACCAGCTGGGGGTTTTCAACATAGGCAGCAGTACCAGACCTGACAGGGTCCATTTTCGCTGCAGCAGCCATTCCAGGCCAGACAGAGGCAACCCTCATAGCAGCAGCAGAAGCAATTCCCACAGCCGACAGCAGGCCCAACACAGGGTGAGCAGATGTCTGAGCTAAAAAATATGGTGACGACTTTCGTGAGCACCAGCACAGAGAAGTTTGCCAGGATGGACCAGTTCATGGAATTTTCTATGGGAAAATTCAATGCACTAGAGGCAGGCCAGAGAAACCAGAGTGCAATTTTGTAGGACCTCCAGAATCAATTGGAGGGATAGCTCGAAACAACAGCACTGGAGCACTGAGAACTCTACCTGCCAACACCATCCCGAATCCTCGTGAGCCTCACCAGCAGTTGGATGCCATTACTACTAGAAGTGGCAAGACGTCGTCTATTCTTTCTGCTCCGACCAGGCAGGAGGAACCAACACCTGTTCCAGCACTTCCAGCTGAAGATGAAGAGGTGGAGATAGAGAAGGAAGCACCTTCTCCCAAGCCACAACTAGTGGTTAAGGAGCATGTTCCCCAGGTTCTCTTCCCCACTCGTATGCACAAGGACAAGCTGGAGACTGAGTTTGCCAAGTTCATGACAATGTTGAAGTAGGTCAACATCAGTATGCCATTCGTGGAGGCACTATCGAAGATGCCCAAGTACGCGAAATTCATGAAGGACCTCCTCGCTAACAAGAAGAAACTTGGGGATCTATCGATAGTGATGCTGAGCGAGGAGTGTTCTGCAATCCTGCAGAACAAGTTGTCAGAGAAGCGCAAAGACCCAGGGAGTTTTACTATCCCTCTTTTTATTGACATCATTCATGTGGGAAAGACCTTGGCGAACCTAGGCCCGAGCAGAAGACCAGACTGGTGCAGTACGAGCGAGCTATGGCATGGAAGATCACCGATATTCGGGGGATCATTCCTTCCTTCTGTTCCCACCGGATATTGATGGAGGATGAGATTCGGCCGGTGAGACAGCCCCATTAGAGATTGACACTGAACCTGGAGGTTGTGGTTCGAGCGGAGATTATCAAGTTGATGGATGCGGGCATCATCTTTGCCATTTTTTGACAGCGAGTGGGTCAGTCCCACTCAGGTGGTGCCTAAGACGGGTGGGATGACTGTGGTCCCAAATGAGAAGAATGAGCTCATCCCAATATGCACGATGACTGGATACCGCGTCTACATCGACTATCCCCGCCTCAACAA